GAGGCTAATAGCCAAAAACACGTGCCCGCGGTTTGCTCCCTCCTTTAATGGAGTGTTGTCGCCTCCCGTATACTTAGCTTACATCTTTTAACGTCTCTAACTGCTATAACACATTTTTCGGCGTTTGTTTGAAGGTGATTGACAATGTTTCATGATGAGGTTCACTAGTTCGGACTTCCATTGTCATCACCCGAAGACGAGTGTGGATACCAACAATCGAAACGTCGTGAACTAACTTGGCTTGAAATCTCTCAACTTTTTTATTTTCATCTTCATTTCCATTTTGTATTTCTTTATTTTTATTTTTACTTGTATTTTATTTCACTATTATTTCATTTCAGGTTTTTTTTGCTTGTTATTTACAGCTATTTATTTTTAAATCTTCTTTTTCAGTTGTTTCAGGGATTTCTAAATATTAGACAATGGAAGTCCGAACTAGTGACATTTTTCGGCATTACAATACTTATATGGCCTCCCATTTTGTAGGTGTCCAAATGTACCCTACAAAAGAACCATTATTTAGAAAAATATATGTATCACTTTTGGTAAATGAAATAATAACCTCAAATTTGTCCAGAGTGTAGTTTATACCTCAGTTTAGTATAGCAAATGGTTATTTTAATCTATTTCACCAGTGCTAAGGGTCTGTACTAGTTATAAAGTGTGATTTGTATGAATCTTTAATTTTTATTTTTCATCAAACTCACCTGTGCGAAAAAATAACACGACCACTACAACGGATATTCACTTCGATTTAAAGTATGTATTACAGTGAACACATTTACAAGGATATACACGTTCAGCTACCCATTACGAGATGACACTGCAGGTATTGTTCAAGTAAACGATATAGTGCAACCTACCTTTCATATATATATATACACACATCGGAAAAGTCTAGGGATATTTTTATAACATACTAAATATCATAAAAATGAATGAATGAGATCGTTTAATTTCGATTAAATTGGTACACTCGACCACCCTGTAGATTTCTATGGGTTGAACAAAGCCTGCAAAAACGGTAACTAATCTTTTATCAAGTTTTTTACAAACTGTAGGTTTTCGGCTAAAATGAATAATCTGAAAGTGTCGAGTTTGTACATTCTATGCAGTTCTTGCTCAGCAATTAAACTGGAAATATTGTGCTTTAACATGGAACGCCATCACTTACCATTGGCTGAGATGAATAGAGCTGTAGGGCTTCTTCAAGGTGGCATGCGACAAAATGATGTAGCTCTTCGTTTGGGGGTCTCCCAAAATGTTATCAGTCGATTGTGGCGGCGTTTCCGTGAAACTGGCAGTCCAGCCGAACAACATCCAGGGCGAGGACGCGCTACAACTGCAGTTCAAGACCAATTTTTGGTCTTAACCGCAAGAAGACAACCGACAATCACAGCACCTGAGTTGGTTAACGTGTTGCAGCAGACGCACCAGGTAACCATTGGTCGTGATACTGTCAGAAATCGACTGCATGAAGCAGATCTCCACAACAGAAGGCCACTTAGATGTCCACCTTTGTCGAGAGGCAATCGCGGTAGAAGATTAGAGTGGTGTCAAGAACATCAAAACTGGGATGCAAATGATTGGGCCACAGTTTTGTTTACAGACGAATCCAGATTTGGATTTCATCCAGATTCTCGCCGAGTAAGACTGTGGAGACGACCTGGAAATAATGAACGTTTGAGACACGTCCAGGAAGTCCACACATACAGAGGTGGTACAGTAATGCTATGGGGCGGAATCATGATCGGCGGCAGAACCGATCTCGTTTTTCCAAATCGCTCGCTTACAGCTCGACAGTACCTCGACACCATTCTTCTACCTATCGTCCGTCCGTTTGCTGGTGCTGTTGGTGAAAACTTCCACCTAATGCACGATAATGCTCGTCCACATGTCGCGCGTCTAGTGACTGACTGGCTCACCAACGAAGGAGTTGATGTATTGCCATGGCCAGCACAATCACCGGACCTGAATCCCATCGAGTATGTGTGGGACATGCTTCAACGAAGAATTACTCCGCATATGGGGAACATTCACACAACGTTTCAATTGAGAGAGCTTTTAATCGGTGAATGGGCAAATGTACCTCAACAAGACATTGACAATCTCATTTTGTCGATGCACGATAGATGTAGGGCCGTAATAAACCAGCGTGGAGGCCATACTTTTTTTGTATTATGATTTTTTTTCGGGGTGCCAAAGAAGAGCCATATTTTTTTTTAGTTTTGCTTATATGCGCACTCAGTATTTTTGACCATATATATATGCTAAAGGTTGCTATACATGCTAAAGGTTGCCCCTTTCCTCTCATGGAGACCTACGATTCTGAAGGTAGTGTGGCAGATACCCAACGGAAAACAACAACTAACCCAGCTAATGCCGCGCAGAGAGTTGAAGTAAAACCATCAGGCACCTGTGCAACGTCATCGAGTTGGAAGATTCGTCGCAAATTATTTCCCACTAAGAAAAGCAGAAATTAATTTCGTTTGGTCGATCCGACCAACCGATAGACCAGTTTCGGGGTGATACTCTCTTCAGAACGGTGTGAACCGTCTGAGTATCACGACCAAACAAATATAATTCCAGGTAGTCTGCAGATGGCGCAGCGGACATCCCACTGAATCAATTGCAGAGAGATTTTATTTGGAATCAAAGTATTTTCAAACCATTCCTAGAAATTATTATCTTTCATGTTCTTATTATAGTCAACATTGCAGTTCTCAAGTTTTTTTCACATAATTTCAGAGAATTCGAAACCCATCTTTTACTTTCTACGAAATGTACAATGATTAGTTGCGACCTTTGTTTACAGGCATACAACAGGCATGTTATGTGGTTTTTCTAATATAACAGGCATGTTATGTGGTTTTTCTAATATAACAGGCATGTTAGACGTACACATTCTCTAGACAGTCCACCCTTTCGTAACTGTGTCGTGAGTGTTGTGAGTTTCGTCCAAATAGAAAATTTGCCGTTGTTCTTGTCTTTATTCAGTTATTTGTTCTGAGTATTTGTTAACTGCTTGACGTTTCTTTATTATTTTAAATGTAAATTCTAGTTTCTTCATCCAATTCTGAAGAGTTTTGTCACAGCAGCTTACGTTATGGCCGGAAGTATTCAATTTCTTCCTTATGATTTCAGTTGTAGGAATCTCATTGCTTTTGTTTTTTCAATGCTTTTATTAGATGAACGTCTGAAGATTTCGGTAATCCTGTATCTCATCGCGTCTTGTAATAGTTTGCTTTCTTCGAAACCAAACTTGGGATGTAGATTCTTATAGACATTGAAACACACTCTCTGTGTATCAATATTCATATGCATCCAAATCTCATTCAGTTGTATCTCTTTTTGGCATGGTTCATTATCTCAAGTCTCAAGAGCTGCAACTGCAGTCTGCATATAAGCTACGCTGAATTCTCTCGCCATGGACGAGGACATCAGAGCGGTGTCATCAGCATAGAGAGAGAGACCTTATCATGGTCTGTTCTCGAGAGATCGCTGACATAGAGGTTGCAAAGCGTGGGTGAAAGGACTGCACCCTGTGACACTGCAGCCACTCCGGTCTTACCGGTGAACGGATGTTGTTGAGCTTCACAGTAAAAGTTCTGTCCTTCAGGCAGTACCCTATCCACTTGACTAGTCTCAGTGGTAGGTGGAAATTAATCATCTTGTGTAGAAGACCTTCGTGACAGACGCGGTCGAAGGCCTTCGAGATGTCTAATGGTAGGATTTGTACATGTCTTTTTTTATTCATCTCCTGGATTGAATTTTCAACCAGTCTTAGGGCTAGTAGTTCATAAGAGTGGGCTCCCCTGAAGCCGAACTGTTCGTCCTTTTGAAGTTGTCTGTCTTCGATTTCCTCGTTCAGCCTTTGCAGGAGTACTCTCTGCGCGACCTTGGCCATGGGCCTAACAGACTTATAGGTCTGTAGTTTTGAGGGAATTTAGGGTCTTGGCCTTTTTGGGGTATCATGATAATCTCAGCGTGCTTCCAGCTCTCGGGGAAGTGTCTGAGACTCAGGGAACTGTTAATGATCTTTTTAAGTGATATTATTTGGTTGTCTGGCAGCTGTTTCAATAACCTGTTTGTTATTGTATCAGCTCCTGGGGCTTTTTGGGCGTGGTGACTCGAATCAGTCTGTTCAGTTCTTCTTCTGACACGGGTCTGATGACGTCCTCGTCATCGAATAGCAGTGTATCCCAAACAAACACCATTAGTCTCAACTAGTCATAAGCTTTATCTACAGGTAATCCAGTGTGATGTACCACAGCATCACCTGCAGACAACGTCCGGAAATAACTCCACAAACACATACTCAGGGGTGGGACTCTGAATAATAAATGACTATGACACGGTCAAGTTTAGGTGAAAACACCTTACTCTTGTCTCTCATGTGAACCTACGACTTTGTATGTATGTGTGTCAGATATTCGACGGAAGAACAATAACTAATCTAGCTATTGCCGCGCAGAAAGTAGAAGTAAAACAATCAGGAACGTCTTCCATTTGAAAGATTCGTCGCAAGTAACTTTTTATATAAGAAAAGTGGAAATCAATTTCATTTGGTCGAGACGACCACCGATAGACCGGTTTCGGAGTACTAGCTCCTTGTCAGTACCGGGAGGATCATTGAGAATTATATTATAGTGTGAATAAAAATGGGCGTCTACTATAATATGCATTCTTCCTGATTGTATTTCGTGTTCTACATATTCATTGTCATTTCAAAAACTACACCTCACGATTTGATCTCCACAAACTTGTGTTAATACCTACCTTTTTTTTTTCTTTTGATGAGTAACAAATACTTTTATACTTCTTGATCTCACGGTTTTACGAATACTGGAAAAAATGTTTCATCACAATGATAGAAACTCATATATGATGAACTCGTTTATATTATTTCTTTGTATACAAAGGTGTACACTACCTGGAGGGAAGGTTTCAACGTTTCCATAGAAACCAAAGTGCAGTATTGATTCAGTAGTAGAGCAAAAAATAATATTTGAAAATAAACGTCAAACAATCATAACATGTCTCAAACCGATGACGATGTACAGAATATTCCTCTTGATACAGAGGAAGGCGTCAAAAAATCTAAAAGGAAATCAGAAAATGTTGAACAAGGTGAAGATTTGGATGAAGAGGTTCAGAAGGAAGAGGAAATAGAGATTGAGGAAGAAGAACCTGAATTTTACGATTCAAATGATTATATTTCCGGACCAAGAATAAGCAAAGTTGGAACTTTACCATTGGATATATTGAAATTCCAGTATCCTTTTGTAGATTTGTGAAATTGTGGTAACTGGGAACATTTTCGAAAAGTGTTGAATACTTACGTATTTTCATATTTGCCGCTTGTATGTGGTGAAATATTTTCATACTATACGCGCACATACAATTTTGTTCACCACTTGCTGAATCAGGGGCGGTTCGTGATGAGAGGATCCCCGAGCATTGTTGATAATAACATATCTTCATAGTTCAAGGCACCAACACATTTCTAGGTAAAAATTATTGGTATTAGAAGCTTGATTGTGCAATAGATCGACGTTACGGACACTCATTTCACATATTTAGGGTTTGAATTACTTATTTAAATAGAGTCAAAACTTTGTTTCGAATATTCTGAAATAAATTTATGGGAAATATCTCGAATAATATAGCATCTATCATCTCACGTTGATACTTTTCGTTTTTTTTTTCGAAATTAGAAGTATCAAAAACAATTAAATTTCACTTACACTAATATTCCGCAAGCAAAAACAATATCCCAACAACCCATCTTCTTATCAAATATCTCCTACCCTCACTGAAGGACGTACACGAATAAAAATGTACAGCTCTATTATTTATTCAACGCTTTGTGAGAATTCATTGTTAAAAAGAAGTGTAGTCATAGCTGATGGCTGAATAATTAATCAAGAAAGCATCAAATGCCGACATCAATTGTCTATTGTCTATTGTTTTACTTGGGATCATTCAGTGGCACACTGGCACACTATCATGAAAGAGGGAACAAAAAAACAGAATTCACAATCACTTTGCCTCATTATCGTTTCTTATTACAACTCAAGCAGATGTTTGAGAAATTTGGTTTTTGAATACTTAGTGAATGAATCTGAATCACGTCCATATCTGATTTATGATTCATAATAGTTATTGTATCGAACATAAAAATATTTAGTTTAATAAAAGTGAAAGGGTGAATGAATGGGTTCATTTTGGTTTGTAACGTTTTCAAAAACATGATAGCCAATGTGTTTTGTTACTTATTGATTTCGATAACATGTAAAAGAGTAGAGAAATTTTTGGACATATCTAATTTCAGGAGAAAACCGCAGTTACAAATATATCAAGTGAGACATATCATGTGATTAGGGAAAACAAAAAATTGAGCAAAGTTCTTCATAACGCATTCGTTCGAAATATTTCAAATGATAGTATATTATTCAACGAACAAGAAATATAGTTTCATTCGTGAGAATGAAGTTTCTGAATCATTCGAATGAGGAAATGCCATTTTTTTGTGAGGAGAAAAGTATAATTTTTCTATGCTACATTTCATATGAGTTGGTGTACTGTGGAGCAATGATGCTAAAAGACGTTCCAGTAGAAAATAATCTGAACGATTGAGGTGTGGAGACCTAGGTGACTATACCAGTGGTCCACCGCCAGATCATTGAACTGTGCTGTCGTCGTACTGTGCATAGATCATAGTCGATTTTTTTTTAGAAATCATTGGCAAAAGGTCATTCATGATGTAAAGTCGCGAGGAAATCCGTTGAAAGTGATGAGGATATAATAAAAATCCATAAAAAAATACTGAGAAAAATATTGAGGTATTCAAATTGTTTCCAGTTTGTCTTGTTCTTAATCCGGTTTCTTCGTAAACTGGATTCAAATTCCTACATCCATTTCTGGTGTTCAACAATATACTAAACTTCTTTTAGATGATTGTCTGCTTTGAAACGTTCTTTTTTATAATTAACCTTTTGTGAATGTTTGAAAATGATCCTGCATACGAAATATTTTTGTTTGGAGAGAGTTCTTCATATCACCGCCTGGCATCCAGTGCATTACTAACAGCAAGCCTATACATGTGAACTGAATTTATGAAGTCAGTATAATAATGTATTTGTTCCTTTCGATCATATTTTGATAATTTAAGTAAGTGACAACTGTCAAAATTGTTCTTTTAACAAAACAACATCTGCATCTGTCCTACTATTCGCATCTAATCTTTGAAAATATCAAAATAAAAAAAAATGTTAATCTAGATTTGCTCAGAAAGAAATGAGCATATCCGAAATCAGTTTACTTCAAGATAAAACAGTGTTATGAAAAATCATGTTGCAGGTACAACAGAAATTTCCTTTCGATGCATAGAAGATAAGTTATTCTTTTACTTATAAAGGATAATGGCTCTGGGTTGCCCTACTGTTCCAAAGGCAAAGAAAACAGCGAAACTTCGTAAATCCGCCCTGAAGACCTAGTAATAGTCCTATGACTTTTAGGTCACCACATATTTGCCACTTATACGTATTATAATTAATTGCATTTAGAATATGTGACATTCTTTCGTGTGTTTCCTTCATGACAACTGCATATGCAAAAGGAATAGAGGTTCTTTTGCTACCATTATGGAGCTTTCAAACTTGTTTTAGACGCTGTTGTTGCCAGATTTCAAACAATTTCCCCAATTTAGGGAAAAACCAAATTTGGAATGTCGTGTTCATTGAATTTTTGTGAAAAAAATCATGACTCAAAAATCTTACGTGTTAGGAAATTTTTACTATAATTTTCGCATGGCTGTAAACTAATGTAGTTATGTACACTGAAATATACGTTAATATTAAAAAACACCCTATGTACTCATATCGATCGACACGTTCAATGGAACGTTATCACAAAATTGAATTCATTCCTGGACTTCTTCATTGAGGAATTGAAATATAATTTTCAAATAACTCCTATATCGTAAGTTTCGACTTCATGTCAGATTAATAAAAAGGTTTTATATTCTCTAATAGTTATATCCAGTGATATCGGTATTCTTAAAAACATTCTATGTTCTACATAGAATTCTACAGTAATTCTATGTAGAACATAGAATTACTGTACATACAGTAATTCTATTGAATTACTGTATGTTGATCGTATTTCATTTGGACCACACACAATTTTCTTTAACAATATCAGTTTTTCTTTCGGTTATAACTGCCGAAAGAACTTCAATTTGGTTGTTTTGGACCCTAATACCCTAGTGTTTGCTTCGGGAAATTTCATAAATTTCTTCGAAATCGATTCGAAAGAAATATGGTTCAGAAGATCTGCTCTGGGAGGAGGAATAGGACATATTAGGGTAAGATTTGCCACCAATATATTATAAAACATAACATTAGATATATTTTCATTTCAGAAAAATCCAAATCCCGATTATCCCCATTTTGCTGTTGGAGAATGTGGACATCGTGCTATCATCATCATTTATGAATGGCCTTCTCTCAACATAGTTTGTATACTGAGGGGAGGCGCAAAACATCTTTATTCAAATATAGACTACAGGTAAAATGATAATATATTATTCAACGAGCCAGAAATGTGTTTCTTACCCATGAAAATGAAGTTTGTCAATCACTTTTACGAGAAATCGCCATTTCTCGGAAGTAGAATACAAGACTTTTTCTATGTCTTATAACAGAAATATTTCAAAACAAGATTTATTTGTGGAGGATATTCCAAATGGAAATAATATCATTAAATTTCATTATGAGACGCAATCTAAAAATTATTCTGAAATAATTTCATATTTGGGATTTTATTCAATTCCAAATAGTTCGAAAATTGGTAAAAAACTAACTAATCACGTTATGTTTTTTTTAGCATTTATTAACTCCCCCTACCCGTTGGATGATACGTGATGAGATTTAAGACTAACCCCCCTCCATAATCACACCCAAAATCACGTGTATTTTTTAGTAGGTATCTACAAAGAATTTTCAAATTTTTCCTTTCTTATACTCTGTAAATGAGTCTTTTATGCAGATCACTTAGGGGGCGTCCATAAATTACGTGAGGTGTTTAAGAGGGGGAGGGGGTCGAGTCAAATCTCATCTAATCTTACGTTGGAGAGAGGGGGAGTCCCGGCGAATATCACGCATTATTGTTGAATTTTTATTACACTTAAAATTAAACTCTTAGCAATATTGATTACTAGTCTTAACTAGTCGTAAATAAAAGCACGAAGCAAATTTTTTTCTTTTTACAATAACCATCCAACGTGTTTACGTAAGAAACCCACATTTTGAAAAATCTCACGTGAGATTGGGGCATGGGGGAGGGGGATGACTAAAATCTCACGACATCTCACCAGGGGGGGAGGGAGGGACAGAAAATGAAAAAAACACCTCAACTAATTTATGGACGCCCCTTTAGTTTAGACATTGTGTTTGCATGTAGTTAGCGCTGAAATAACGGAATATAACTGGCAAGCCGACCCGGGCGGTCGTCGTGGTGCGCAGCGACTTCGTTCGTTGCCTGGAAACGGGGAGTCAAAGTCACATTAAACGCCACTTTCCGGTTTAGCAATCGCGCGTTTCCCGAAAAAATAAATACAGTGATATCCTACTACACTCCTGTCCCCCCTTGTGATAAATGGACGGCACCTTAGTGGATTTTGAACCCAGAACTCTGGTTTACAAATTCCTTATTCTGCCAAGTACTACACAAATATTGGATTGCCATTTAACTATTTGAGTTTCAAACTAACTATTATTCATTAATATGTGTGATGAATTTTTAAAAAGTATCAATTTCTACTTTCCAAGTTCGAGTTCTTATTCTTGTTTTTCGTAAAAAACAAGAATAAGAATGAAAGTATTGAATTTTATTGTCATCAAAACTAAATGTTTGTACCAAATATCAGATCAATCTATATGAATTTTTCCCAAGGAAAAAACTCCAGTAATATTCATTACTACACCAAAGGTTCCAAACAGTACATCATAAGTATCAGATCAATCTGTCAACAGAAAGGGGTCAAAATTCTAGATTTCACCCAAACAAACAGGGCAGGCTGAATAAAACCGTTTAAAAATGGATGGTCAAGTAACTCCTGCCGCTTGTGTGTCTGTGAAATCTTTTTTGAGCGGTCCGAGTATCTGATGGCAATGTATTTCTGATCGCGTGATCATACTCTGCTCTATCGCCGAGAGTACGAGCTCCGGCTATTAAATAACGAGACTGGTTACGAAAAAGGGTTTTATTATAAAACTTATTTTACATTCGAATGCTACACTTCAATATAGTCCCCTCTCCTAGCCACACACCGTTCTATACGTTTTTTCATTAATCGAAGCAGTGCTGGAAGTCTTCTTTGGTGAGTGCCTTCAGGAGCTCTGCTGTTTTTTGATTTACCACTTCCATCGAGTCAAAGCAGGTCCTTTTCAAAACAGATTTTATCTTCGAAAACAAAAAAAACTCGCACGGTGCGAAATCTGGCGAGTAAGGCGCCTATTCGAGCACTGGATGCGTTTATCGGCCAAATACCGCTTCACAGATAGCGCGTTATGGACAAGTGCGTTGTTCTGGTGCAAAATCCACGAGTTGTTCCTTCACAACTCGGGCCGTTTCTTACGAAAATAGTAAGTCTGGTTGACAGTATGACTTTATGGAACCCATTCAGTCATCACGATACCGTTAATGTCGATAACGATTCAGGCGTCTTTCGATGCATCGATTGCCGCTTTGTTTCAACTTCGTATTGAAAAATCCACGTTTCGTCGCAATTAATAATGTTTTTCATAATGGTCAGGAGTCAGGTTTTTTGGCACCAACTTCGCACAAAATTTTGTCATGTAAAATGTTTCTAACCGTTTCTTTATCGACGCTTACAGCCTCGGCAATCATCCGGATGTTCATTCGACGATCTGCACGCACAATTTGGTTGATTTTGGTCACCGTTTTCGGAGTTGAAACAGCGATGAGCTACCTAGGCGCTGGTCATCTTCAGTGCTCTCTCGGTCCTCACTGAAGCGCTTACATCTCTCAAAAATACGAGCACGAGATAAAAAAATGTCCCCATAGACCTCTTGCAACAATTCATAGCACTCAATTGGAGTTTTTTTCAAATTAACGAGAACTTTGAGATTGATACGTTGCTCCTATTTTTCGTCACACATGATTTTCGACATGAGAAAAAAACACGTTCGTTTCAAACCGCTACTGCACAAATACTATAATAGTAACGGAAACGTAATTTGGTACGTGCATAGAGAAGATTTACAGATACCCAACTCACTACTCGTTTTTTCCCACCCCTCTAGGGAGTCTTCTAGACGCGCAGTCTCGTTATTTAATAGCCGGACCTCGTAATTTCATGAACGCAACCACTGTATTTTTGATTATATGTCTTTATAAACGCAGCATTGGGGTAGGATGACGATAGGGATGATACGATGAATAAGTTGGTCGGCTATTTATGACCACTTCAAATTCCACTTCAACTCATGCACACATTACCTAAATCGCTTTCCACAGAAAATTCATGTGGTCTCACTTTTCCCTTTTGTTTATTACTATTTTCAGTGGAATTGAAAACAAAAACTAAATCATCGGTAGATAATAATTAATACAAAATATACAAAAGCCAGTTCGAGAAAAACAATGACTACAGTTTTTAATTCATACATTTTATTAGACAAAATCTAAGATAAATTTAAAATGTAGCTGACAATATTTCTTGTCAAACCTTAGACGTTTGGACTTATATTCTTACGAATGATGGCTGATTAGAAATCCAAGTGGAAATAAATGAATAGGATTTTAAAAACTCTAGGATTTCAATCAACGACTGAGTTAGATGAAAAACAATTTTTTGAAATATCATCTGCAGATATTTGGCTTGTTTCTCAAAAAAGTGTACTTATTTATATAAGTACATATACTTTTTCGTGTTTTTAAAACTTACATTTCATGTGTTAAAAAACTGAGATTCTATTTGTACGTGCTGCTGACTACAATGCCTTGAAAAGAAGTAATGGTGAAATAGATACCTATACTCAAAAAGTCACCAGTGACTTTTGAATGATCCTTCGAAAGCGAATTGGGTGGTATCCTCCATAAAAAAAATCGTATAATAGTCCTACGGCGGCTCGAAGTTTTCTGTAGAGGGCACTCATAAGAATAAGGAACTTTTGACACGTTTCAGTATTCATTCCAACAGAGCTTAGTCTACTATTTGTACGGATGTAGACTGTAGAGCCGCTATACCAAACCGAAAAATGATGCATCACCATAGGAGTTTTTATCCCAACTCATCAGTTCCATAGTTGAACTTTCCTTGATAATGTGGAGATTGAGAAGAATACAGGAAAAAAAAAACTTTTGAATATCGTGCTTCGGAATAAAACTTTTGGTTTTGTTGAATCCAAAACTTTCGAATTTTCAAATTATTTTTCTATTTTTAGTCCTGATGGAGAGTTGCTGGTATCACAAAGCGGAGAACCCGATTATTTGATAACTGTTTGGAACTGGAAAGAACACAAAATATTATTGAGGAATAAGTCCTACGTTAACGATGTCTATCGTGTTAAATTCTCACCATATATACCAGGTCAAATCACAACATGCGGTAAGTTTGCCACAATAGCTAATAAATGGTTTATTTATTCTTACTTGCGGTACTGCTAGCACAGTAAAAATACTTAATAGTAATCATGTATCTACCCTAAACATTTTTCTTAGTCTCATTAGGGTTTCAAAAGAAGTAAGTTGAACAAAAATATTGATATTAGGTTTTCGAGAAAAATAAAAAAGCGACATCTGAAAAGCGTGTTTAACATTACTGATAAAGAATGTGATGAAAACCATTTTCTGAATTCGACACATGAGTTTACTGCAAATTAAAAAAAATCTTTCCACTGGCGACCTATTCCAAATGAATTGAGAACTGATGAAAATGAAAATGAAAACCAAACTTTCCAAAAAGAGGACTGTCCGTTCAAGGCTCAAGAAAAACTTTCAAATCCCAGAAGAGAACAAATAGTAAATACGCCCTTAGATGAAAAAGTTTGGAGGAAATATTTGGCTAACTCTAATAGAAAGTTTACTGTTTTTCGTTGAAATTTCTTTGTTTAAGATGATATAAAAATTCGACAGTGACCTAAAAGTTGGCAAAAGGAAAGCAAAGAGCAATTTTGAGGGTTTAGTTCAGATTGTACCAAACAATAAACATTTCCCTAATGAAGAATCATTAAACATGAAAAAATCAATGAACAGTTACAACACATTATTTTCAGACAGGAACAGGCAGAGACATTTAGATAGAATATTCAACAGCGTTTTCGCATCGGTAGTACCACCGCTTCGACTTTGTATGGATAACATCGTCCTATTCAAACCAATTCATTCGAATTGAATTATTAATTGAGCACCTAAATCTAAGCCTTCCTCTGGAATCACTCCGTCAATTGGTGAAAACCATAAGGTAATATGTTCGGTACTTTTTGAGTTTATCATATTCAAATAGACAGACGGAGGTGGCTGTGTTTTATATAGTTTCAAGACCAATATTTTGAGAATAAAATGCTGAAAAGTATTTTCGACTCAGTTCAGAAAAGATTATTATTAAAATTGTGAACGAATGTATTGATATGTGAAATGAATTCGACCATAAATGGAAATCTATATTTTTTTCAAGAACAAAACACAAGCACTATAGGAAAATCCTCAAGGAGGAACTCTAATATTGAACGATGGTGCTAATAAGGATGATACTTGTATGATCTCAAAGTCTACTTCTCTCTAAAATTTGTATGGAAAACTAAAAACTATTCAAAACATTGAATTTAAAAAGTATTAATGACTAATTACAGTAATGTTTTCAGTATATCAATTATATTCACAAAAACATAAAATTTACAATAGAATTTGAAACCAACAATTCAATAAACTTCAAACGAAATACTGATGAGTCTCTTAGTCATGCTATGGTGAGCTATATTGTAATTAAAATGGTTATTCATATTTGTGTTTGCATGGGTTGGCTTGTGGTAAATTGTGAAATCATGTTTGTTGTTGATTTTTGTAATCATGTGGTCTTTACAATACAAAGGTTGATTTTCTTTATAATATTTACAATATTTGTAATTCAATCCAGTGCTTTGTTCAAAACTTCTTTTGCCGAACCCTTGTGATTTACAAAGTACGTACCTACCTGTACGCTGCCTCCTTCTATGGTGTGAGATATCTCACTGAGTAGTTCCACAGAAGTAAGTAATGTGGTAGTTCTTCGTGATTGGACAACTGGTGCGGTATATGTTCGCTCTGCAAGAGTTGAGTTAGTCGGGCCTGTCGTGGAGTTGAATCTTCAGTTTCCTCGTTCACCATTTGAAAGAATGCTTCAGGTGTAAGCAAAAAAACAGTTCTTGGTTGATACTAAAAACTTCTTAGTCAGCACTGACTAAGTTGGTCAATGATCGAGCTGACTGTTAACACGTCAAGTAGAGTACTTCGACCAAGCCATTGAAGATGACTGCCGCAGTTGCAGTTGAAACGTTTGGTGATTATAACCAAAGAAGTCGATTGCAAGAACTGGAAACCAATCAAAACATTGACGCCAGCCGTGAAAGCCTACATTCCTCTATTAAAACCCACTAGATAGACCGCAAAAGTTCCAAATCACAGTTTGTACCACAGTTCAGAAAATGATTTATTCCAAAATATCCACTATTGAGGATAACTTGGAGATATTCAATTACAGTGACAGTGAACTTTTGGTACTTTTCATGAAAAAAACCTAATTCCCACACCTTTTCCATGTGAAAAAGGTACACCTACTCAACAACGCAGGAGGTAATCCTTTTCGAGAGATTTACAATTTTCTATATCAATGCATATTACTTAGCTCCTAGGGCGCTAAGTGAAGTTGCTGAGAACATTACAAAAACTAAGTTTGTGGTGGATCTCGTCAAAATAAACAATTTTTTCCTATAAAATGTTTAACGGAGAATGATTCGTTTTCGAAATACAGATTGTTGAAATTTTTCAAAACATAGTAGGTTTATGTCATGAGTTTTTTGCAATTTTATTTATTTTCATCAAACTTTATACGCAGTATACCCGTACAGACTTCTTCTAAACTGAGCATTATCGAACTGCTTATTCATAATTATGCTTACCCATACATTAAAAGAGAATCTGTCTTGGAAATGAGTTTGCGTTATCGCATATCTTCCGCCCAGATGTGGTTGTTATGAAAGTTCATGATACCATTTCTTGAAAAATTAGCCTCATCTGTGAAGAGGATTTGCGATAAAATTTATGGATGTTGTTCAACTTCTCTTTCAAGCCATTGAACAAATTCGATACGTGGTTGGAAATCACGTAGCGTAAGTGCCTCGACACGCTGAATATGATAAAGATATAATTGCTGTTTCTTTAAAATTCTGTGAACTGTCATGTGACTCACATTTAAAGTTTGACTAATTTTTCTTGTACTTGTCTCTGAATGGTCACTAATTTCTTCGAGAATCGCCTCCTTCAATTCTACAGCTCTTGTAGTCCGCGGCCATCCTACTGCAGAATTTGTTTCAAAGTTTCCAGATTCGGAAAGTCGCCGGAAAAGATTCGCAAATGTCGCTGCACAAGGAGTCATGCGTTGTGGATACCTTTCCTGATAGATGCGTCTGGCCTCGCTTGAATTTCCGTCAGCCAAACCGTATGCAAAAACCATATCAGCCATTTCAGCATTCGTAAAGTCGTGCATGGTACCAAAAAATCACTTTATAAACTCCGAACTGTTAATTTGTCAATTAATAGTTAAAAATGTGACAGCGAACTTCAATTTTTTAAACAAACTTTCATAGCCTACTCGATTCAATTAACTTAATTTGCAAGCGGAGAGTGACAAAAATTATTGGAATCAAATTTGGCTATGAAGTAATATGTATCGATACAGAAAATTGTAAATATCTCGAAAACGATCACCTCCAGCGTTGTTGAGGAAGTGTACCTTTTTTACTTGGAAAAGGTGTGGGAATTAGGTTTTTTCATGAAAAGTACCAAAAGTTTACTGTCGAAAAAGTTTGGGCAATTTGAAATAAATAATGACAGCGTACGCAGCGCCCTCAGATGTTACATGAAAATTAATGCGAAATTATGATTTCCCACGTCAAAAAAACTCCGGTTACCGAATTTCTCGCAAATAACTTTTTTTTTGCAAGAGTTATTTTCAAAAAGCGAACAAAAAAATTCAATTTCATATAGACTTTTTTTTTAATTGTCTCAGAAATGAATATTTTAACGTGTTCATGTTACACCCCGTATAACAGATTTTAATATGATCAACACGTGTTGTCAACCCTGTAATTCATGTACTGAAATACTTGATCTGATACAGTCAGGGCTCATAATAGTGAAATGTAATAAATTCTGAAATAATTGACTCAAAATATTCAATTGATGCCAACGGTACTCAAAATTATACTCTTGTATGCATTTTTGAGCGGGTGAGTGTTCCGTCAGGTACTAGAAGAAACTGATGACAATTATTAAAGGAAATCTTCAATTAAGTCGTATTAACAGTTGCAAACGTGGGTTTTGTGAATTTTGAGAAAGTAGGTTTCCACAGCTGTCTAGCAGAAAAATATAGTCTTCAATACTAATCTGAATTTCTCCTGCCTCTTGGAGTCTCCTGGGCTTGTAACACCTGATATAGGTACACCAATCCTGGATATGGAATTTCACATATGGCAAATAATCTGAGTTTTGACTTCACTAGTATTCAGCGAACAGAAAAACTATATTCGAAATGATACAAAAATGAAACAAAATTCCTTAATAAATTTTCACCAAATTATATTTGTAGAGTATTATCTTCCTCTTGAAGATGATCACTTGGTGATGGAAACACGTGTCGAGTTGTTAAAAATAACGATTTAGTGTTGGAAAAAAACTCCAGTAGTATTCATTACTACACCAAAGGTGTAGATCTAACGTCTCAAACTGCAAATTAGAGGAAAAACTGTTTCTTGGTCCGTTTAATGAAAGTTTATTTTTGGCACAAATACTGTCTTTTTAATGACGTTAACTTTGTGTATAGTCTATAACAAAGACGTTAAAAATGTGTATCCAAAAAAGGCAGAATTGTCATCCTTCCAATGATAGATGGCGCCAGCTGTATTGATTCATTCATTGATACAAAATATTGTATTCAATACGATAGTGTAAAAGGTGCGTATTCATCAAAAAAAGCGAGCACGAGCGAGCATGAGCGATCATTCGTGTATTTTTGCTCGTGTTCGCTCATGTTCGCTCGTGTTTGCTCGACATATTGATGTCTCGTTCACACCAGAGCGAATATCTTCAAGTGCGTAATCGTAGTTGATCCATCTACTTTGTGCGAGCAGTACGTGCGCGGTAAATATGTCTTAAGGTGCGTATTCACCGAGCTCATGCTCGCGAGCACGAGCGAGCATGAGCGAGCATTCGTGTATGTTTGCTCGTGTTCGCTCATTATTGATTATTGATGCAGAATGCTCGTTCACTCTTGTTCGCTTGTGCTCGCTTTTTTGGTGAATACGCACCTTAAGGATAAAAACGAATATTTTTACCGTTATAAAACCAGTGGCAAAATCGATATCTATTCTTGAGTTATCATTGTCCAAAAATTTCTTATAATGATACACTTCAAGCGTCTTTAAATACATACTATTTTTTTCATTTAAATGGTGGATGGAGCTAAAATCAACCAATTAAACTGTTTTACTGTTTATATTGTCTCATTGAAATATAAATTTTACAGTAGGTATTGTATTGAAAAAAACATCAGCTATAATACGAATTTCCGAGATTCTGTTTGAAAAAACCATTACGTTCATCAATTCTTTCAACATTCAACGTCTTCACAATAAATAATTACAAACGAAAAGGAACGCTACTTCATATGTTCAAAACATGTTTTTGATACCAACTGATTGAGACAATACATCTTTTGATACGGCAGTATGTATAACGTATGTTGAAACTCACTGGAAAAGTGTTTTGAAAAACTTACATTTCAACTATATCCTTTATCTTTTTAAATTAGAAACCGTCACCACCATCACATCAGTCTTATAACCTTATAAATGCGAAAGTCACGCACTTAACACTCATTCATCTCTGTATCTTCGTTCTGGTAAGTCCTAGGAAGCCAAAATTTGGTATATAGGTGCTTCTTATGGCTTAGATGCGGCCTAAAAAGAATTTTCAAATATTCCAACTGGGGCGCCTTCCGTAGGGGTAAAAGGAGCCAGCCGCGGGGAAAAAGGCGCGCTAATCACTGTTTCTCCGTACTGCTATATTTTTTTCGAAGGCTGAAATTTTGTATATAGGTTCGTTTTATGTTGTAGATGTGCAAAAATCAACGATTTTTAAATTCTTCAACTGGGGGGGGATCGGGGCAGTGGGGATAAAGGGAGAGCGTTTACATATGAAAATTACCTTTTCATCACTGTTTCTCCGTACACCTATATCCGTTCAGCAGCAATCGACCTAAAATCTTAGAAGTGTCAAAGAGTCTTAAACTTTTTGAATATAAAATTTGTCTGCTAACACGAATGTTAATATGTTTCTGCTCATTACGGCCAAATAAATCGATTTCACCTCTTACATGTGAACTTCGGCATATTCCCGGTCGCAAAAATTTTTCAATAGTTCGTCAGTACCTAGGGAGAGATTATAAAAAGTCAGAAGAAAGACAGTAATCTGAAGTTGGTCAGAAGTTGGCCCAACAAAATAATTCAATTCGATTAGTAGCAAGTCTTCAAGCATGGTGCAACTGTCAAGGATTAATATATCGTTAGTGGAAGAGCTCAGATCGCAAATTACTACTGCACCATCTGGTTTTATTGAAAGCACAAATAAAAGGTGTGCTGGTACAACTCCACAGTATCTGAACAGGAGGGCACTTTGGCATCAAAAACACCTGTAGCTGGGCCAAATGTTGCGTGACGTGGAGAAATAGTCTATGCGATGCATCATTCGAGCTCCGAAGAAAGGATTCATAACAAAAAGTCAAAGAGAAATGGCATAGTATCCATTTATTCGAGAAATTCTTGTAATGACCTTGAATATCCAATGATAATTTTCCAGATATGAAGTAATTTCAGAACTACATTCCAAAAGGGTATGGTATTATGGCAGTAATAATTAGGAATCAAGAAGACACACAGTTTCACTCCACTCACAGTCAGATGGAAAGGTGAAAAGGCATGAAGAAAATGGTGGGTACGTTTTTATGTTTGTTTTGGAAAATTAGAAAGACGAAGACAAGTGCGTGGTGATATTCTACCTGGCAAATAGAAGCGCAATTTATGAAGTGACGGCTCTTCATCGATGCAGAAATGAAGTTGTCACCCACTATTTGGTTTGCCATTCAAAACAAAGTCAAGAGAAATCACATCAAATTCGTCGCAATGTAGTTCGGGAATTGATTCGTAGTTCTTGAAGAAAGCCCCGAGTGAACAAGTGAAGTAGTAAAATAATTTCAAAGACTGATTGAAGTTTTGTTTCGAGTTATATTTTGCGTTATTGAATTGATCAAGAGTACCAGTTGATTCAATAACTAATTGAACCATTTACAATTGATTATACTAGTATTTAGTAAGGATGCATGAAAATTTCAGAAAATTATAATTTCGTATTTCAATATCTACAAATGTTTTGTTCATGAACATTACTTTCCACATAATAATATTGTTATTTTCAGGTGTTGCTCACATAAAATTCTGGAAGATGGCAACCACATTCACTGGTCTCAAGCTGAAAGGTGAAGTTGGAAGATTTGGAAAAACAGAATATTCTGATATTTATGGCGTTTTGCCAATGCCTGATTCAAAGGTAAATGAACATATAAATTACAAATTCACCTTTCAAAATTTTCGGCCAGCTCACTTCAAAATTCAAGTCGATAGCAATTTGGACAAAATGTGCATTCTTTGTTATTTAATATCCAGCAGTTTTTTGGGCATGGGAATGATAAAAGTTCTGAAATAGTAGAAATATTTCTCCATCTTTTCAGTTTGGAATGGAATTTGAGAGGTTAGGTTATTTAAAAGGTAAAATGATTATTTTCTTATTTGCGTGAAATATTATGAATATCAGTCCTGAAGTGGAATAGCACAATCAAAGAGGTAAGTGATAAATTGAGAATGCATTGTAACTACAGTGAATATTAAGTACCAAAAACTTCCACCATATTTTGTTTCTATTTCATTTTGATCAAGTATACACAAGTATATATAGGGTCTTCCAACAGGGACTTCCGAACTTTGACAATTGATAACGGCCATCTTGTTGAAGTATTAAAGTTAAAGTGTTACTTTATCAAAATGGATGTTCTGTTCTATTCGCTTCACCCATTTCACGGACGCAATAACCATCCTACCGAGAGGACTATTCGTAATGTGATGAATAAATTTGAGTCTATTGGTTCAGTTAACGATCGACCAAAACCCATACATCGAAAAAAGGCAAGATCTGCCGAAAACATCGTAACTGTCTGTAAGAGTGTGCAGGAGAATCTGAGGCAGTCAATTCCGCGTCACTCACAAGATCTCGGCCTCCACAGGCATTTTGGGTAGTGAGTTGGGCCTGCAACCGTATAAAATTCAATTGACCCAGGAAATGAAGGTAAACGACCATAGACAACGACGTATGTTCGCTGAATGGTCTCCGGAGCAGTTGGCAACTGACCCTTAGAGCGTCCAATGCATCCCGAAAAAGTCACTGTTTGGTGTGGATTTTGAAGTGGCGGCGTCTTCGGTCCATATTTCTTTGAGAAAGATGTTGGCCAGGCCATCATTGTTAACGGTGCGTTATCGTGGTTTTTACCATATCACAACACCGCGAAAAAACTGTTAACATCACCTTCACTTTTGATAGACTTTGACGCCTTTTCGAAGCTATTTGGTTGGCATATACAATTCATAATTCCATGTTTCATCCCCAGTTACAATGCGTTTTATGAATGTGGGGTCGGAATTGACTCGTTCTAAAATGTCTTCATCGACCTTCACGCGATTGAATTTTTGCAGAAAATTCAGATCTTTTGTTTTCTGTTTTCTCAATCGAGAGCAAGATGATGGTACACGTGCCCGGTTGGATCGACTATAGCTTGGAATCAAGGCAGAAGTTCAATTATTATAAGTGCTGGAAAGGGTTACCACATTACAACTCGTATTTGGACACAAAACACAGAAATTTTAGAAAATACTGTACTCTCCTCAACACTTGTCATTGTAGACAAACCTTGTTACACCGGGAAAGGAGATACTGATACTCTTCCAGAGTACCAAGAAAACAAGGAATACATTAACTTGAGGGTTTTAATGGGGTTTTGCACTTTGAAACGATTTGACTGATGAGATTTTGAATGGTTACTGAACAAATAAATAAGAGTGTCAATGTTTGGAAATATTCACATCCTTCCAATGATGGCTCTAACAGGAATACTAACAAAAAACAGGGTCTTACCCTAGAGTTTAATGCTCTAAACCTCACAACTTCTTATAGAAATCCTATTTACAGAAACCATCAAGGAAACTCAAGGCTGTTAATTAATAATTTTTCACGTAGAGTCTTCTGGTTCTTGAGATCTGGGATTCCAGCAGACTCCAGCAGTAGCCACCTCAGACCTATTTTTTATAGTGCAGACACGTCCACGACGATCTTCTCCTTGTGTCCAATTCATTTTTGGTTTTATGCTAATTGTGGCTCTTACGCTTTTCATCATTGTATGCCTTTTTTGAGTTTTTATGATTTACGATCTATGCTTCAACATTTCAACGACCTTCGATAGTTTTACAATTTTCTTTTCAACGATTTTTCCTGGCAGTACTACAATAGAAAAAAACTTGTAATCAAAATCCTATTGAATCTCGGTTAGTTACAATTAACAAATTTGAATTATGATTTTATATAATCCTCTTTTAATTCCATATCTATAAATACCTTAAAAGTTGGAAGTGATTTGGATTGATGATTATCAAAAAACTCTATACGAAGTTAGTAGAAAAAAACCATTTCAAAACTTTATTACTCACACATAGATTCGGAATCGGTTCAAAGTTCAAACAGTTGTCTCGCCTAATAATCATATAAACAAAGCACACCGATTCTAAGGGTGACATTACTGAAAGTAAATATCTCTCTGTACCTCCCTTCTCACTTAACGATACACTACAACCATTGTCTCTTCAACTACATTATGAATGAATAATCGTTTAAAATGGATCGAGCTGATTCGTGAAACGATAAAATTTCAGCAGCTATTTCTCCCAGATTAGATTTTCAATCACATTTTTCTTTACTTTGACGATGTTAACATCAGTTGAGCTTGTTGGTTGCCGGCCAGAGCTGAGCATATTTTTCACTATATCTCAACTACAATGCACTGTACCACTTATACTTCACCGTAAGTCTCTTAGGCACCATTTTCATTGCTTTGGTACTCAACATTTTATTTGAAATGTGAAGTTTAGGACAAATTCTTTGTTTCAATATTTTTATATATTGTAAATATCGGGAAACACATTTAAGGTTAATCAACGAATTGAGAACTGTAAACAAGTTACATGACAGATTGCGCTCAAGCTTCCTCCCATGCCCCCTACCGGGTTGAGTGCCTCGAGATGAAATCTTCCCCACAACTCTTATGAGTAGACCTCAACCAACTGATGGGCACTTCAACAAGATTGACACCTGACCTACTGCGGTCGAAAGACAGTCTTTAGGGCTTTTACTTTCTATTCTGATAATTTGTTAAAAATGAAATAAAAACAATAATAGAAATTAATTGGCGCTCCGGGGCGACTTCATTGATTCCAGTGGCGCATTTGCTTCTTCAGCTGCAGGAAAACCCGAAAAAACCTGCAGCACCACATCATTTGTTAAATCGTAACTTTACTTGAATGTAATTCATTGCATGGGGCCCCCAAAAACCAACCAGAGACGCCTGATGGCGACTCTCAGGGGTAGACTCTGATTCTGCTTGGTCGGACTCTTATGTTTCTCGAAATCTTGAGTCTTTCCTGTTGAGTGCTTCGTGTAGATCGCACAGCACTGGACTGTTGTGTGATCGAGCTCTTTCGAATACGTTTTCTGCGTGTTCTTTCATATACGCGTCTAGTACGTAGTGGTATATGTCCCGGTATATGTATCTATTTGATATATATGTTACCGGCCAAACCCGATTTTAGGCCAAACTAGTTTTACCTAGGCTAAACTAGTTTATCCTATATGCGATCGGATAAACCGGTACAGACTAGGCGAAACGGGTCTGTCCTAAGGATGATAGGAGAAACTAGTTTAACCTAGGAGGAACTGGTTGGGCCTAATATGAATAAGTACACTTCAGGATAAACTAGTTTGGCGTAGTATGAACTGGTTGGGCCTTATATGAATAGGTACACTTCAGGATAAACTAGTTTGGCCTAGTCTATTCTATGCTAACAGGGACAAATTAAGCGAGTAGGTACGTGTCGAGACCTGTGCATTCGGGGATCCCCCGATCGTATTTCTCACGTCGTCGCTTGCCCAGTTACGCTCATTCTGCTTTGAATTGAGGACNGGCATAGGCGTGGCACCCATTTTTTTTAATAAAGAAATGTTTAAACTTTAATTTGGTACTAGTTTGAAGTTGTTACACGATAGGTACACTAATAAATTAAAAAAAAATGTTTAAATATGGTGTGCCAAGGCATGGGAACCGGATTTAATGAGGCACACAAAAAAAAATTATTTTACTTTTTAAAAACTAACTTTTGAAAATAATTTGAAAGTGTTACTCCATTGGTACAGTTATTGTACGAAAAAAGCTCCAGAGACAACACATATAAAACTTATGAACAAGTTCCGCCCAGGCACACAATGATATTTGTCATTCTAGATATAAGTACTAACTTTTAAAAAACATTTCATTCTGTTAACTGATCGGCCAGTATTTTTGCAGCCAGCTCTTGGACTAATAAACTAGTTTAGCCTAGGTAAAACTAGTTTGGCCTAAAATCGGGTTTGGCCGGTAACATATATATCTCGAAGCGTTTACGGCAGCTCGCACATAACCGTTCACGAACGTTTGGATACTGCGTCTGTATGTCGCTGCGCACTGGCCCAGGCAGTGCAGGCATACAGGGAGAAGTACGGTATTGATTAGCAGCAGTTTGACATGGAGTCCCATGTTGGTTCTGCAACCAATGATCGGATGTAGGTTTTGTCGGCTCTTGTCAGCCCTAGTCTCTGCCGTACATGGGCCCTGAACGTTAGTTTCACTAGTTCGGACTTTCCATTGAAATCCCTGAAACAACTAAAAAAAATTGAAAATGAATAGCTGAAAATAACAATTATATTAAGCAAAATAAACCTGAAATGAAATAATAGTGAAATAAAATACAAGTTCTCCACTTTTTATTTTTATTTTTTTTTTTCATTTCTTTATTTTTATTTATCCAATTGTTATATTTTTACTTGTATTTTATTTCACTATTATTTCATTCCAGGTTTATTTTGGTTAATATAATTGTTATTTTCAGCTATTCATTTTAAATTTTTTTTAGTTGTTTCAGGAATTTCAAATCATTTTATATAGTAGACAATGGAAGTCCGAACTAGTGAAATTCATCATGAAACATTGTCAGTCACCTTCATACTGAACGTTAGTCTTCTATCGAGAGTGACTCCCAGGTATTTCGCTTCGTTGATCCACAGAATCTCTTGTCCGTTGAAGGTGACGTTACCTTCCGGGTGTACCATCTTCCATCTTCCAGGTGATCAGTATGCTGATCTTCCAAATATTGGTCCATTTCTCTAATCTGTACGCCTGCTGTTGCAAGTATCTGGTAACTTGCGCATGACCAGCTGATCTTGCCAGTAGAGCTGTAGCCTGAGTATAGCGTTAATGATATTCGTCATTGCCGCTATACCCTGCCGTTGGTAGGGCTGCTTTCAGTGCCTGGTTTAGTATCTGCTCCGGGCCTGGGGCTTTTCGAGTGACTAGGCACCTCACGATGCCTTTCACTTCCTCGGGTGATGTCGGTGTCAGAGGTTGCGCATTGTTCTTTCCTTGCCGTCTATGTTCTACTTTTTCAGCATTTTCTCTACACTGCCTTCCGAAGTTGTCAGCAAATACTTCCGCTTTCTCTTGGTCCATGTAGACAATTCCTTGCTCGCCCTGCCTGGGCGAACATGGTTTTCAGTGTCCCTTCCTAAGAACTTTCTGCATTCTCCACGCAGATTGGTCTTCGGTGTTGAGTTCTTCCAGACGGGTTGTCCATTGTCGGTCTTGAATTGCAGCTATTGCCGAAGGATTCTGCAGGCTCTGTGCATACTCCTTTTGTCCATTGGAGCGCGTGTCCATTGGTACCTTGTCTTCAGGCATCTTCTGATTCTGATGAGTTCTATTATTTCCGGTGGAATGTAGTCCTGTGAATTGAAGCGCGCGGCTGGGACTTCCCTCGCGCTTCTCTCCATAGTTTGGATGATCGCCTTTTGTAGCTGCGTTGTAGCGTTCTTCAGATCAGTTCTTGTTTCAATGCGAGGGATGTCTCCTATCGTGTCGTGAACGGTGCGCTGGAATCTGCTCCAGTCGATAATTTTCTTTTTTGGTTCGTCTGGTTCTCTTTCGTCTATTCCTACTGTGAATGGGATAAGATTTTGGTCTGATGAACCTTCGTCTAGTACTTCCATCTTCGATGTTGGGATGTTTTGCACTCTGGCGACGTTGAGAATGTCTGGGACGTGGTCTTCTCATGGGTAGTGGAGCAACTACCTTCTGGAGCAACTACCGCGGTATCCTCAAAGTCTTCTAGAAGCCTGGCGAGATGTCTACATCTTTGGTTTCCTTGAAACCAGACTTCGCGTTGAAGTCGCTTATGGTTACTGTTGGATGGTGGTCTGGGAGGCGCTCAAGCTCCTCGTGAATATTTGAAAATTGATGACAGTTGTACCAACCTAGCTACAAAAAATGTTTCGACAATCTCTTCACGCCGGCAACTTTTTGCCTAATTTACCGATAATTTATCTCTTACGGATTCCATTTTTCCTCACTGGCCTTCCTCATTTTGAAATCAGTGTACAAGAATATCAACTGGCCCAGCAGTTGATTATCATGGAACTACTTATTTTGTCTGAATTGAAAGCGGGATTCTTAACAAAAAACTATCGACCAGTGTAATTTAAATATTTAGGATGACTGTCACCTTTGCTTGGACGTGGAAGTAGCGCAGTCGAAATACTGAAAAAGAGTGTCACCTTCCATGAAAATCAATAGGTCTTTGCGTTTTCCTAAATGTTGACGCCATTTATGATAACGTTTCTGTTTCGTTATCATTTGGCCGTCATCCTGTAATATATATTATGAGTTGAAATACAAATACCTGGAAAACTTCATTTCCACAAAAAATTTATGTTAAAAAGAGTTATAATTTCAACTTTTAACTCACTATTGATAGTTCCGAAGATATTAACAAAAACTTTGAATTTCAAATAAGACGGTAACAATTTCAGCCAGCTACAATTTCATCAGTAAATTATTATCTCTGGTGTGTAAGAGTCCTGAAGTATTATGACCACATTTAAATTCTTTTTGCAAACGTATATTGGGTTTTTACAATACAATTTAATAAATTTTATTAGACTTCAAAACTTTTCCCTAATTGATTTTTTCTTTTCCCAGGTGGTGTCAGGTTGCCAATGGGGAAATATTTTAGTGTGGGATGCAGGTCTAATCACGCTAGAAATATTCAGATCCTTGAGGCGAAAATGTCATGACGCTCCTATCGTGCAGTTTTTTTACGAAGATGGAGAACTATGGACTATTTCTCTCGACGGCCATGTCCGTATTTGGTGGTACGAGAAAATCGATCACGCCGATCCACCTGATGACGATAGAGTAATACTGATGGATCCTTCATATGATTTTTATACTCCAGGATTGAAACTTTATTGTGTGGAAAAAAAAGANTGCCCAAAAGGCTGAAACAGCTGTCTACCGGTGGTTCTTAGCTTGAAATCAATATGGGAATGATCAAAAAGTACTTATCTATTTATTTTTTGATTTTCATGGAATTTTCATAGAATTATTTTCCAGCATTAGCCTTTCTCGAATTCATATAATTTATAGAAACATGTGGATTCATTTAGCGATGATTTTCCAAGTTAGCTTCCCAAATTTCTGCTACCGCAGTTGTAGGTTGATTGGTCAAACCATCAACACTGACAAAAACTTGGCAAGTTGACTTGGGTGTCATACCAATAGGTGGTTCCACTTATGTTTCGCTTGCGTTTGAGTAGTTGTCGGTTGAAAAAGCTAGTGTTGTTACCAGTGTCCAGTACCCGACCTATATAGAAGGCCCAGACACTCTGTCGAATGAGGCCCTCATTTCCCACCATAGATTTTTCATCCATCCCACCCTAGCCTGGAAGGGGTACCCCGTGAAGGGCGGCACTGATGTCTGAGGACTTCATATCGCCAGAATTCCCTCAGTCATGAACCCATTTGTCCTTCTTCGACAAAAATCAGCTAAAAGGGTAATGGAGCTGGGCTCCAACCTGAATGAAACGAAAACGCTTGGTCGGTAATGTCCGGTATTTCAAGCAAAGACAAAGAGGGAAATACTTAGAATCAAGATAGTACAAAAACGGCATCGGGCCTGGTAGGCGGAGCCTGCGTGCGCTCGCCGCGTTCGTATAAATATAACGCGCCGCGAGCTCGTTTGTATCTCAGACAAATCTCAGCCACAAGGGTAAGGGAGCTGGGCTCCAACCTGATGAACCCGAAGATGACACAAACAAATAACGATCATCAGGTCGCCCGTTAACGGTTTCGTCCCCCGTTTACGGATGAACAAATTTTTCATCCATCCCACCCCAGCCAGGTAGGAGTACCTCGTGAAAGGCGGTACTGATGTATGAGGACTTTCATACCTCCACCATCTCTTTAGTCATGAACCCATTTGTCTTTCTGACAAAAAACAGCTGCAAGGGTAGGGGAGCTAGGCTCCAACCTGATTGAACTGAGGATGAGCTTGGTCAACGATCATCAGAGTCTGGCTCTAGCTAGTCGAGTCAACATCGTTGTGAACCACTTTTTTCAGCCAGAAGAAAAAGTTTTATTATAGAGAGAGAGAGAGAGAGAGAGAGAGAGAGAGAAATTTAGTCAGATTTATTAGTCTACTTCTCAGAGGAGATTTGTTATACCAAATATTACCACATTAAAAAATATTCGAAAATAAATCAATTATAGTTTGGGTACTGGACATTGGTTATACAGTGTGTCCAAGATAAGGATCCTAAGCATGGGAATCTCAGTACCTGTTGGAGATACAGCTTAGGTTAAATTAGGAAAAAGTTGTGTTCTTTAAAGCTTATTTACATGCCGTTTAGAAACTTGAAGAATTTTCATGGCCTGCTGAGATATTTGGGAAAAACGAGAATTTGACAATATCAATTTTATTTTTTTCTGACTTTATTTGAAAAGATATCAAAAAACGAATAACACTTTTTCATTGGCACTTTT